CAAACAATCGCTGGGACGACAAGACTGACTGAGTGTGTTTTACGCCGCTTTTAGCAATATTCCAGCAATATCACGGTGGGGGAACCAGAAACGGCACACATTGTACAAATGTGGGGAATCGAACCAGGGTCTTCGGCGTGACGAGCTCCCACCTTAACCACTACACTACCCCACCGCCCGAAGTACAACAAGAAACACACGGTGAGAGAAAGTATATTTTAGCATGAATAATCAACGGAGGAAACGTCTCGGCGTTGACTAGCTACATTTGCTGGAAAACCCCACTACCCTTTAGTACATTAACGTCGTCCAATTAGCGACATCATCGACATATGGACTTCGACAACATCATGACAATGCAAAATACCACGCTTCGTTCTTCATTGTCCTTTGTGATTGTTTTTTCATGTGTCCTATGTTACCTGTTATATAGCCTAACGAACATCTGTTCTACACATTATTAATAAGGTCAGAAAGGATGTTAGCCCATGCCATAATGCTCTGAAACAGGGAAGCAAATAAACAACAGCAAACTGTACATTATGATTACGAGTATATTATCATAGAATTCTGGTACATCATTATGTGGCCCGTATATAACAATAACTGTGTATGTAATTTCATCTTTGAGGACTTGAAAGGTACATAATTACCATCCTCATCAAATTTGGAAATCAGGACTTTGAAGTTAAAATTATTATTGAAAAGGACAGCAGATCCTCGGGCATTGGAGGTGTAAGTACTTATATACATTCACTATGACCCCACTGTTGTTTTATCAAGTTAACTTGCTCAGATGTAAAGTGCACATCTTGTAAACAGTTGTTTTCTTTTTTAGGAAATTAAAGCCTTTTTTCATTTAGAGCCATCACCTAAACCTCTGCAGTTGCATGATAATACCCTTAGCTTTTCCATTTCATATCAAAAGAAATACCAGTTAATCTTGAGAAGTACATGACAGTTTGTCTAATAGTTGTTATAGAAAGCGATGAAGAGCATCTATGGGGTTTTTTCTTTTCAAAATGACGTTACAAATTGCGTTACGGTAGTGACGCAATTTCATGAAATGTCTGATAAAAAGGGTCAAATAGGGAAAAAATCGCGTTAAGCTTGCTTAATTTATGTTTTGTATATTCAGAATACTATGAATGTAATCAACAGCATTTCAAAGTAGAACAATAAATATGAAATCATGAAATATGCACGAATTTTGAAAATGACTCATATATATGAATATACATTCTATAAGATAAATTACAGTCTTGGTGTAACACAGCTGTTTCCAAATGGTGATATAAACAATAACAGTGCGATGTGCGTTAAATCACACTCAGTGGCATATGCGTTAACGGTGTCTACCTTGGACGTCAAGTCAAGTCAAGTTTATCCGTATTTTAGGCCACATGATGATAAAAACAATAACAGTGCGGGGTGCGTTAAATCACACCCAGTGGCATATGCGTTAACGGTGTCTACACTGGACATCAAGTCAAGTCGAGTTTATTCCGTATTTTAGGCAAAATGGTGATATAAACAATAACAGTGCGGTGTGCGTTAAATCACACTCAGTGGCATATGCGTTAACGGTGTCTGCACCGGACGTCAAGTCAAGTCAAGTTTATTCCGTATTTTAGGCCACATGGTCCATAGTACAATTGTATTGTAAGGTATACAATCGTTGTCACATGACCAAAATTATATTAAATTAAGAAGATCTTGAGCTAAATACTTTTAGCAAATACATAGATGTTAAACGTAGTATATTTACAAGAGGTTTGTTTAATATTTGTTGTAATGTTAATCTAGCTTTATAATACATTTTGATGGACAAGAAGTATTCATTACGGAGAAGAAAATATCTATTACAGATAGGGAAAACATGGTATTCATTTTCTACAACATTCATATCACAGTACACACAAATAAATTCAAAATCAGAATTATCATCGACTTTCTTTTTACGTTGTTGATTAACTCTGAAATCATGAAGAGATATACGAGATTTACACATCTAACGAAGTTTCTATTATCAAGTTTATGGACATATGTTTCACATTGGAATAAGTTCTTTATACTAGAATAGTGTGACAAATATGATGATGATTCAATACTTTGCTGCCAGAATTGAATGTACATATCAATCAAACGTCTTCTGAATGTAGTTATAAAAGAGTGACATCACTAACATTTTGCATCATCCATGCTTAGCAAAAAGCACTGGTACATAACATCTCACGAACGTGCGAAACCAAGAAATCTTTTGAAGAAGCTTATTTGTACTTTTTCTATAACTTCGCGGTACAGTTTCAAGATTTATGATATTATAAGTCCATTTTTCATGCATGGAAAGTATGCCTCCATTTCCGAATACAATGATTTTTTATTTATCATTGTTTACACTCAGTCCCCATTTCGAACAATACTCAAATAAGACATCTAATTGCCTTTGTAGGCCAACAGTGGAAAACGAGAATAAAACAACATCATCTGCAAATAACAACAACATTAAGTCGCCAATACTCTGGTTAACAAATATACCATAATTGCAGGCTATAAATTTCATGTACAAGTTCATTGACAAAGAATATAAATAATACAGGGCTCAAAATACAACCTTGTTTAACTCCAACTGATGTACTGAAAAAGTTGTCTTATAATTACCAACTTTAACAGCTGCTTTTACGGAGGAAGTACATGTTTTTTTAAGACATTATAGATTTTACCATGACATCCATTTTTTCAAGGAGATATAACAATTTTCTTCTGTCAACGAGGTCAAGGGCCTTTTTAAATTTATAAATCCACAGTAAAATCTACCTTTGTGCTTACTCAGATATTTTGTACATATGGCCTGTAAAGTAAATACTTGGTCTACAGTGGAATACCCTGGGCGAAACCCAGCTTGAGATTCAGTGATTAGTTCATTTCATTAATATCTAACCAGATTCTTAAACGCGTTTTCTATAATTGATGTAAAAATCATACCACAGCAGTTCAAGTAAGATATGCCTCTGTTGTTGTTTGGGTTATTTCGTGACCCTAATTTAAATAACGGGAATATCATACCAATGTTCCAGCCACTATCCAAGACTTTATTAAACAATAAGAGTAGAAAATGTAAGAAATATAAACTACTGAGCTTTAGAAATTGGGTGGTATACCGTCGACACCAGTGGCTTTACCTGGTTAGTAGTCCTGAATGCTGTCAAGTAACCCTTTTTCTGTGATTACACTATTCAAAATGTCGTTAGTAAGATCTATTTGGAGATTATCACATAATTCACAGGTAAGTTTATCGACAAAACTATACACTTCTTCACGAAACAGTTATTTTCGGAATTTTTCTTTGAGTTGTGTAGAGAAATGTAGGGAAATCATACACCTGGTGTGATATTACTCATTCCTTTATCTGATAACAATCGACGTTTCACAGTTCTCCAGAAAACTTTACAATCACCTTGTGAGGCGGCATTTGAAGTCTCAACTGCAAGTGTTTTATTATATGGTCTCTCTTCAACTTGCGGCAACTTTTAAAGTTTGCTTTTGCTTGCAAATAATTTGTTACGTAATTTTGGCAATGATACTTTCTAAGTTTAGTGAGATATTTATGTTTATCGGCTTTCAGAAAGTTACACTCACCGTCAAACCATGGTGGTTGACTTGTTTGAGTGGCATTTTAGAAGTTGAGACGTACAATATGGAACAAGTTTTTATGTATAACAACTTCTTTATTTCGAAACGTCCAACTCACGAAATAAAGAAGTTGTTATCCATAAAAACTTGTTCCATATTACATGGTGGTAGGTTATTACTTCTTTCTTTATAGTCGTTTGCATTATAGCCCACATTAGAGCAGAATAGTTGGAAAATATCTGTTTGAAACAGCGACATTGATATCAACGTCTAGGAATGAAACAAACTCCTCCATAAATGAATCGAGATTATTATCAGAAACCATTGCCTCAAAGTGTTCATAGCTAGCATCAGTCATTCTAAAGCGAGGGATTCGTACCATCGGTATGTCATTACGGGCATTTTCACATTGCTGGGTAGGTAAGATATTAGTAGAGGTACATACAAGTGGTAAACGATCTGCCTCGTCAGCCCTGGGGTGAAATGTCACGATTCACCTAAGAAAAAAGGCCCACGTCCGATGTGCATGCATCACTGGTTAGCAAGAATAGATATGGTCAGCGTTCGAAATTAAAGTCGATCCTGAGGTCCGAAGCCGACTGAAAACCACTCGGACCCACGGCATTTGGTTTCTGCAGGTCCTTATGGCCGACAACATTTTCATCCTCAATAAATAAGGGTATTATTTCCATATTAAAATATTGGGTCTACGTATTCTGATCAGGACCCACAACTTTTTATGGTTCTGGGTCCTTAGGTCCTGCAGCTTTTCAGGTTTAAGGGCAAACACCGGATATGATATATGTGAATATGCATAGTAATCGGGACCATTTTGCATTTGGCGAATGTTTTCTGTTTCTGTCAATCATGTACCAGCGTTTTTGTGTTTCATACATTTACTTTCTTTTGCCCGGTAGTTTAATACGTAAAATGTATATGAATAGACAAAGTTCGAGGATGTACTCGAGAAGTAATGTAAAACAGGAACAGATATGATACATGTGAATATGCATACTAATTAGATAAAAAAACGAGTTCTGTTCTTTGGAAAATTCTGTCACTCGATCCCGGTTCTGTTAGATAAAAAACAGTATGGCCTCAACACAGCTGTTTCCAAATGGTGATATAAACAATAACAGTGCAATCAATGTACGTTATGTAATTGACCCCTTATGAGTGGCACACGTGACAGTGGCATGAGCGTGAACAATGTGTGTGTGAGACATCACTGGTTTAACAGCGCGTCTATATGTACACACGTAGTGTTGAATTTCAAACCATCAAAGCACGTGATTGCCTGCAATTAAGTAAATAGTGGATGACAATGGGGTTACTACAGTTCATATTGTATCACCGAGGACGGAGGCTGCATATGCCTGGTCGTTCAAATATCTACGCAACACGGAGGTCTTCACGTTGTTGCCAAGCAAGTGTCCGTGGTTTACGAAAGCGTGTACACATATTGTGTCCAGAACACTCTTGAAGAGTCAGGAACAAGGTAAGTGTGTGATATAAGTGACAATCTGCTGTTCCATATGAGTTAATGAGTGAGTTTAGTTTTACGCCGCTTCTAGCAATATTCCAGCAATATCACTGCGGGGCGCACCAACAATGGGCTTCACACATTGCACCCATGAGGGGAATCGAATCCGGGTCTTCGGCGTGACGAGCGAACGCTTTAACCACTAGACTACCCCACCGCCTCTGTTCCATATGAAGAATACAAAGCACAGCAGTGATGTTATTGTAGACAATAACATTTTATGAATTGCATAATGTCTATTGTGTTCATGCCACTGTTATCTAATATGTAAATATGTTCGCAATGTACCATGTTCACACAGCAGTGATGTTGTTGTAGACAATAACATTTTATGAATTGCCTAATGTCTGTTGTGTTCATGCCACTGTTATCTAATATGTAAATATGTTCGCAATGTACCCTGTTCACACAGCAGTGAGTGGGTACCTGGTAGGATCAGATGGAGATCTGATGGTGAACCTACTTGCAGCTCACAGGTAGTCATGGTTATGTACTCCAGGCTTAAAGTTCTTAAAAGGCGTTTAGAAGTTGGATGACCAAATGTTTCAGGGCTAATTCCTGCCCCTTCATCAGGTGAATGCTGAGGCAGTGCATAGAGTGAATATATATATATATATATATATATATATATATATATATATATATATATACCACACACACACACACACACACGCACGCGTACACACACACACACATACACATACACATGTTTATACAACGCAAGGTGGGAGAGAATGTACAAAGGGGACAATATATTTACAAATTAGTCATTTAGATAGGATTAATGTACAAAGATAACAGCATAATATGAAACCAGTTAGATGGTATTCTTGTACAAAGATAACAATGAAATAATGAAGCCAATGAGATTATCGGTATTACAATGTAAGGAGAAGCCGATGATTACATCACAATGGAGAACACACTGGCAAGGTAAATGCCTTGGTCCCGGTTAATGGCTTCCATTTTTCTGTGGATCTCGATGCTTTCTTGCAGTTCCCTCTTTTTCCAGTGGTTGATGTTGGTGTGTAGAATCTGGGTTTGTTGCCAGGAAATATGGTGGTCGGGAGTTTTGATGAGGTATTCCGAAAGGGCAGATTTCATGTCAGATTTTTTTTCTACAAAGGTCTAATGTTCTTTTATCCTGGTGGTGATGTCTCTCCTATACAGACAGAGAGACATACATACATACATACATACATACATACATACATACATACATACATACATACATACATACATACATACATACATACATACATACATACATACATACATACATACATACATACATACATACATACATACATACATACATACATACATACATACATACATACATACATACATACATACATACATACATACATACATACATACATACATACATACATACATACATACATACATACATACATACATACATACATACATACATACATACATACATACATACATACATACATACATACATACATACATACATACATACATACATACATCATTGTTACATGCTTATATGTTATTTACATGAAATGTTCCAATATATTTCAGGCGGGTCATCAATGTAGAACGTATACTGTAACAATCAGTAACATTTTGACAGGATTCCCTGTTGGCGCTTCTCTTTAGCGCCACGTCACGCCATACACTGATAGGCTATTTGCTATCGTAGCAATGAACATCATGTTGTGCAACCTTAAGTGTAGATATCCACTGGGTAAAGAAACATGATCTGCGCAGAATGCTGGTGCTGCAGTGTGAGATGACTGAGACTCGCACCCTTGCATGTATACAACAGACAATCAAGTGACTGAGCAAATCAGTGTGTCAACTTTGACACCACTTTTAACAAGACAAATATTATCGATAACATCTTCATTATTTGTTGAATGAAAGAAAGAACTAGCCCAGAAACGTCCTGAGAAACAAATCAGAAAGGTTTTATCCAAAATGTCTGTTCCAAGCTGGATTCGTCCACGCTGTCCCAGAAGCTTCCAGTTTACCCTTAACACCTGTATATAGTAACAAGAACATCACTGCCCCAAACTGAATCTTAACAGAAACAAGGTAATGCAATTGCAACATTGATTTACACTGAATTAGACAAACGTAACAATATTAAACTTGTACAGTCTAGGTTATTAACTCACATATCCCGTGTAAAGAATAAGTGAGCACCCGGCAATATAAATCTGAAAGTCATCCAGAAACAAATGAAAAGCTGACGTGTGAAATCGTTTTGTTCTTTCAGAATGTGGACAAGAATGACAGTGGCGCTTTTGGCCTTGGTGGCAGGGTTACATATCTTATTGACGGTGTTACATGTTGCTAATACACAGAAAGTGTCAACTCTGAATGGCCCCCTTCTTGGACAACGTCTGTCAGTGTTTGACAAGTCCGTTGACGTATTCTATGGAATCCCATATGCCAAGCCACCTGTAGGTGATCTACGCTTCAAGCACCCTCAGCCTTCAGGGTCATGGGGACCGGAAGTTAGGGATGCACAAAAACAGACACCATCCTGCTTCCAACTTGAAGACGCTGTTAGTACTGATGAGAAACACAAACAGATACCCAATGATTACAGTGAAGACTGCCTTCATCTTTCAGTGTGGGCGCCATCAGACAATGGTGGCAATCTGGCAGTGATGGTCTGGATCTATGGTGGAGCTTTTTATAGTGGATCTACACGAGTACCACTATATGAAGGAAAATTCCTTGCAGCAGAAAATGACGTCATCGTTGTTTCAATGAATTACAGATTGGGGCCATTAGGGTTCAGCTATCTGGGCCCAGATACCATCCCTGGCAACATGGGCTTGATGGATCAAAGATTAGCCTTACAGTGGGTGAAAGACAATATTGTCAACTTTGGTGGAGATCCAACACGCGTGACCTTATTTGGAGAAAGTGCTGGTGCTGCATGCGTGAGTCATCACCTGGCGTCACCATTGTCACGTGACTTGTTTGACAGAGCAATCACACAGAGTGGGACTCTGATTTGCCCATGGGCTTACACTTTTCCCAACACAGCAAAACAGAGACTGGAGAGATTTGCTGATCTCCTTAAATGTCCTTCATCTTCAACTGATACAGAGATATATGAGTGCTTGAAGACAGCAGATGCACAAACTATGGCAGACGCTCAGGCAGGTTTGTTGACTGAAGGACCTGCATTCAATCCAGTTGTGGATGGGTACTTCCTCCCCGATGACCCCAAAACTCTTCTGTCCAGTGGTTCCATCAAGCAAACCAGTGTCCTGCACGGCTTCATGAGAAACGAAATGACACTTAGCTCCGCAATGACGTTGAAGAAGATGAGAAAAGTATCTACATTGCCGGAAACATGGATTTTAAGTCGCACAGAATATACAAGACTTCTTAGTATGGATACTGGGCATGATGAGAGAATCGACGAACCACTTCGTCTCTTTTTTGAGAGTCAGCAAACCCCCCTGAAAGAAAAAGACTATTTTGATGTCGTGACTCGCATTACTTCAGATAGGGATTTCAAGTGTCCTCATCATGAGTTTGACAGATTGCACTCTCCTGCCAACCCTACCTATGTGTACAGTTTTAATCACCGACTGTCAGTTAGTCCGTTTCCACAGTGGATAGGTGCAACCCATTCGTACGAGCTTGACTTTGTGTTTGGTTGGGTTCTGGAAAAGTCTCTGGGATGTACAGAGGAGGAGATGGAACTCAGCAGGACCATCATGACATACTGGACCAACTTTGCCAAGTCGGGGTGAGTGAGTGATGGAGTGAAATTGATATATTGAGCCACAGAATCCACACAGGTTAGTAGTTTTGGAACAGATGAGTGAGTGAGTGGACGATCCCTCACTCGGTCTTATGTTGTCCAAGTATAAGTGCATTATCAATTTCTTGTCAGATCAAATGTATTCTCAGAATATCATGTTCTCATTGAGACCTGTTAATCCTGAAAATACATGTTTAGCATTGCTGCCTATAATGATGTAGGGGTGTAAGCCAAGTGATGATAGTGTCGGTCCTATTCCACTCATGAACAATGTCTAAACCCCTATTCTGTAGATCCCAGCCGTTTCTGAATGTGTCGACAAAACTCACTCACTCACTCATTTTAAATGATACCAACCATATCGGACAGTTTACAGATGAGTGAGTGAGTGAGTGAGTGAGAGATCCCTCATATTGTTCACTTATATTTACATGTTCAAACAATTTCACCTAAGATAAAAATTGATTCCCATTTCCAAACAGATCAATCTGTATTGTATTCTTGATCTTTCATATCTTTATACAGCGACCCTAACACTCCTGTCCCCGTCAAGGTGACCTGGCCAGCCTCTGACAACACTGATCTCTCCTACATGGCCCTTGACGTGGGCAGCAAATTAGCAGCAGGACACGGGGTAGTCAATCACGAATGTGTCTTCATCAACAAGCTTGTACCCATGATTATAAATGGTAATATCTATGGTGCCATGGACACAATGCTGTTACACATAATTAAATGGTTTCTATTCTGCATTCAAGGTCAAGTCTCTCTTAAACATATTCATTCCTTTTATGATCATTTCAATATTTGTGGGAGCGGTGGGTAGCCTATTGGTTAAAGCGTTGGCTCGTCACGCCGAAGGCCCGGGTTCGATTCCCCACATGGGCACAATGTGTTAAGCCCATTTCTGGTGTCCCCCGCCGTGATATTGCTGGAAAATTGCTAAAAGCGACGTAAAACTAAACTCAGTCAGTCAGTCAATATTTGTAAAACACATATTATTCCAACGACCAACAATACCCGAAGAGAATCATTGAAAGCAAATACGTTTGGGAAATAGGACCATAAATTCATGATGCATTTTTGCATCTATGAGGTCTCATGGATTTGACCCATAAGGAACAGATCGAAATGTCGGCATGGGAAAATTGATATGAGGTGGTGGTGTTGGAATTGGGTTTAACGTCGTGCTTGAGAATATTTCGCTCATATGACGACGTGCATGCGTGTGTATGTGTATGTGCGGCTGCTTGTACTAGCCCAGACTGAAGCTGGTTTTATAGTGCTAGCCCACTGAGAAACCACGCCGCAGTGAAGCATGAATACCCCACTCAGACACATTATACTGACCCCGAGCCGACCAGTTCTTGTTGTACCCATTAATGCCGAGCGCCAGGCAGGGACCAACAAGTACCATATTTTAACGTCTTTTGGTATGACGCGGTCGGGGATCGAACCCGCGACCTTCGCTCTCCGGGTGGACGCTCTAACCACTACATCACGGAGGCGGTCGAAATTCATATGAAAGAACGCCGATAATTGCTGTGACATGACAACTACATCATCAACCATATCAGCTTGTTTGACCAGCCATATATATTGACGTCAACCAAAGAGTGAGTGAGTGAGTTTAGTTTTACGCCGCACTCAGCAATATTCAAGCTATATGGCGGCGGTCTGTAAATAAACTAGTCTGGACCAGACAATCCAGTGATCAACAGCATGAGCATCGATCTGAACCGTTGGGAACGCCAACCAAAGAACATGTGTACTGTGGAAGACTTCAAATATTGCAAGTTGCGTTCAGGAGTTCTCCCAGATTAGTATTTTTGCTTGTCGCCATCGTATCCTGCTCCCTGGTTTCATAAAGCTATGAATGTCTGGAACCCACATCACACCGGGACGACTGAACATTAGTTCATACATTCATACATGGTACTTTCATACCAATAAGTCCTAATACGTCCATACCTGTATGTTTCTGTTAATACGTTCAAATCGACATATTCACACAGAAACGAATATCGCCATACTGATTGGTTGATACATACATATAGATCCATATTTGTTAGTTGTGCTGTGCTGTCGTGTATCTCCTGAAGTGTAGTGTGGGAATTAATCAAGTAATGAATCATTCTGTTGTGTTTCAGACCCACCGGGCGGGCAGGAGTATTGCATAAAAGGATGACCGGACAGCATCTTAATAATCTGACACCGAGTAAAATATATGTATCATTAAAACTGACAATTATTAAAGTTGCTTTGAACTGTTTAACGTTTTAACTCTCTAGCATTGTAGTAGCGAAGCAAAGTCGAACACACAGACACACTCACTCGCACGCACGCACAAACGCACTCACTCACTCACTTGCTCGGGGAGGTGGGATAGCCTAGTGGTTAAGGCATTTGCTCGACACACCGCAGACCCGGGTTCGATTCCCCACATGGGCACAATGTGTTAAGCCCATTTCTGGTGTCCCCCGCCGTGATATTGCTGGAATATTGCTAAAAGCGGCGTAAAACTAAACCTCACTCACTCACTCACTTCTAAAAAATCCTGGATCCGACCCTGATATGGAGTGTTTAAATGCGTGACCCTTTTAAATGCGTGAATTTTACATGCATTTTATTAACGTCTCAATACATCAACTAAGAACAAATATCACTAGCGGTTAGTTACGAGGTCAAGTTGTCGGAGTAACCTCCCCTTCTATTTTACAGTGCAACTGGCTTTCGCCGATTTATTGAAATCTCAAGTAAACGATGGTCATGATGGTGAGAACTAAGAACAGCATTAATTTCTTATCAGGTAATCAGGTAATCCCCGGACACCTGCACTTTACGGGTCCCCGGAAGTTTATGCTACAGACATGCGCAGAAGCCATATTTAGATCGAAGCGAGCACTAACGCTGACGCCATTTTTTGTTTACTCCAGCGAATAACAACATCGCTGTTTTTGCCTTGTTTTGGACCATTAAATAACCCTTTGATACTAATCGATAATCTTCTCTAGCCCTTCGTTCCTCAACAATGTTTCAGGGTTTGTATAATTTTCTGGGTTTGTCAGTTGCAGCGTTTTAATTGCAATATTTTAAGAAGATGCTGACATAAAAATACCCCAGTGATGTAATATAAAAATACCCCAGTAATGAAATATTTTAGCCCTCAGATGCTTCATGTGCATACACGGCGGATAAAAGTAAGAAATGTAACAAAAGGATCATCAGAACAACGTAAATATTTCTTCCTCACAATGTACTCCACAAACTAACTATCATATAATCCTTTCGTAGTTCCATACCTGGGCAGGGACGCTTTCGCCGCTCTCCACGTACTCTCAATGTTATTAGTGCACGCACCATTCTCTGCATTCACAAATTCCTTACTATGATTCACTGTCACATGCTCGTATCCCATCTCATTCAGCCTAGCATACGCCTTCCAACAATCAGAATGAATTATCGATCCCGGTCGCACCCACTTTCTCAGCACACTCAAAAGGGTATCTGCATCACGCTTCTCCACAACTTCCAAAAACATCCTGTTACATTCTTTCTCGAGACCCCCAAACACCCACACACCATCCACTCGCCTTCCTCGGTCAAATTTTCGCTTCCCAAACTTACTCTCGTCAATCTCCACTTCAATCCCTGGCCCACCTATCATCTCATTCTCCTCTTCCATCACAAACAAACACACATCTCTGCAATGATTAAACCAGTCAACCAAAGTGATCAGACCCCAGAAAGCAACTGCCATCTCACAAAATTCTCTCTCACTTGATAAACCCAATAAAACGTCAATTTCATAATTTCACTGACGGACAAATGAGACTTAAAAAAACTAGAATCACGCCTTGCTACAATTTTATAATTCCATTTTTTATTTGAGCAACGCCACACATAACCCTCACTCCGACTCGAATCCTTTCGCTTTCCTATACTCCCACTGTCACACTTCACACACTTCCCACTGAAATTTCCAATCAAACCAAACGCTTCCAACCAATCCATCAACTTTCTCTCATCTCTACACAACTCATACAAATCGCCATACACCATTCTCCTTACAGCCATAGCTAAGCAAATCAAATAAACAAGATTGAAATCAAGCGACAAGCAAAATACAACTCACCAACCGTGCGCGTTAAAGTTGTGGCAGTCGTAGTAACCCACTACCTTATTTGGAACATTCGACACGTGCGTCCACAATTGACCAATCAGAAAAAGGAACGTCATCGGGATTTCCCCTTGATTACTAACGATTGGATTGATGTTTTGGAGCATTACTAAAATTCGTCTTTAGACGAAGTTTTAAATTAAACTTTTGCCAGTAAACACGAACATGACCTCTAATTTCGTCTAAAATGTCTCCTAACGGAGATCAGCCCGCTGTCGCGTGCTTCTCTATATATAAAACGCGCTAAACAAAGCGCGAGCTATATAGAATACACTTCTACTTCCGGGTGCGTGGACCCGTAAAGTGCAGGTGTCCCCTAGGTTTTTATCCTTTTTGGGAGAATGAGACCTCATTCTCTTCTCTGACCAACTCGGACCAAGTCCAAGTCCAAGCCCAAGCCCAGTTGACGCCAGTTTGCTAGTTATCAGACAAGCAAGATCTATTTTCTGAATGGTCTATTTTATGTTTCTTAGCTTTTTCTTCATTTCTGGGGTACGGTGAAATCACCGAGAAGCAGTATTGAAAACGGTACAGACACACATGTGTTTTTCATCTGTTTTCTACACTTGACTGCTTTTATTATGCCCCGATTTCAAAATGCCCCAGCAAATATGGTCAAAATGCCCCAGTTTTTGGTCAAATTGCCCCAGGGGGTAGACAAAATGCCCCAATTTATTTTAAATGATTAATTATATGCCATAAATGCATAGTTTTGTCAACTTTGATTTTTAACTAACATTCTTATTCACATCAACATTGGCAGATTGCATTTAATATTTATAAAGTTGTTTGTTGTAGGAGGTTGACTAAAATATTTCACAATGTGTTTATGTCGAACATCAGAAAAACATTCACAGATATACAAAATATGCCGCCCATCTTAAGCAACATTAATACCTTTTGATTTACAAAATAAACAAAATATTTCATTAGAAGTAATATTTTCAGATCTCCCAGTCTCTATTGCTAAATTAAAATTTCCACATCTGAATTTTGAAAGGTATATCTCAAATTTAAACAAATTTTACAATTTAAGAATTTTTCTATATCTAATAGGGTTCCATACTGACAATAATAAATAGTTTTATGTGAATTTTCAGTGAAAGAAAACCATATTACCAGGATTGTTTTAAATTATCAGTTAGTCTTCGTTTAAACAGAAACATAAAATACCAATATCATGACTGGCCCATACATAGCCAAAACCATAAGTAAAAAAAGTATATTTTTAACATTTGTTGCCCAAGTTACACGATTAACATCAACTAATGACTTTTCCTAACAGTGTTTTTGGACTCTATTTGGGGGTAAGTACAATAAATGACACCAACACTTGATAAGTTTAGTCGTATATACAATTTGTAAAGGGAGTCTACCACATTCTCCAAGTACCACATTACTATAAGTAGATTTACCAACTTTTACAAAATACTTTTCTTAGAAAGTTATTAACAGAAAATAATGTCTTATTGGCCTGAGAAACAAGACATGTCCTAAATATTTATCAAAAGATACAGATTTCATAATTTCTTTGAGGCCCGTCATTTCTAAAAACAAGAATCTTAGTATTTTTAAGTTTAACAAGAACATTAATCTCTTTCTGTAATTGGCTACATGTGTCAGACAAACATCATCAACAAATATAAATGAACATATATTATTTAAATCTGATGAAACTGTTACACCTGAACCACCCCCCAGTTCCTTTACAATACATAACTTGTTAATGGATAACTTCTTTGAGTGGCATGTTTAGAAGTTGGAAAATCAGATAAGGACAAAACTTTATGGATGAACAACTTCTTTATTCGGATGATGCGACGTTTGATACAGATTCTTGTATCGTTGTCAAGCGAGTATCGAAACGTCGCATCATCAGAATAAAGAAGTTGTTCATCCATAAAGTTTTGTCCTTATTTGTTATTGGAAATAATAAATAATTGTGGGCTTAAAACACAACCCTGATGGGTTCCAATATTACAAGAAAAATATTTAGACAAACCTTTTTACAAGAATATTTATGAATTACCCCCTTTGGGGGGGGGGGGGGGATATATGATCAATTGTAGAATAATTAGCTCGAAAACCTGCTTGGGACTCACTAATAATTTCATTGATATGACATCATTTCTGAAAGCCTTGGCTATATTTAAGAGATGTTAACCTACTTGCATCAGGTGCAACCTGAGATAAAAACCTAGATGCAACCAGCCAAATTCCAGTTGCACTGCTTTGATTGCAATATGCAATGAAAAACTTTGCTGTTGAATTATTTAGATGTTTTATTCAGAAGTTTACCCACTCAAAAATTGACTTGCACCTTGTGCAAGTTAGACTTATAACTGGTTGCACTTTGTAATATTGGGCTGCACCAGTGCAAAAACAAAGCACTAAATCGAGCCCTGGAGAAAATTTCATGTTGTGTAATTACTACAGTAAGTAAGGCCACACTTTTTATATCAATTGGTTTACAAATTTCTTACAGCAATATCCCTGTCGGTAGGTGGTTAAAAAGAAGAAGTCTATTTCAGATTTTTTTCCCTGCTATAAATGTTAAATCAGTGATTTTATTTGTTTCTTTATTTAAATTTTTGTTTTGCAACGATGCTAAATTCATAACAGAAAGTCGATTTCAATAAAGTAGATTTTAAAATTATTTATTTGGATTTTATTTATTGGTGATAATTAAAAAATGGAAATATTAAACATTTCTTACGGTTGGCGGATTCGTAAACCAAGAAATATAAAAAGTTTGGCCAAATGAAACATTTTGCACGGTTGAGTGCAACAGAGACATATCACAATTAGAATAAGAGGCAACAACATTTATAACATCTGTTTGATCGATACTAAGTAAGGTCTGGATAAACAGCGATTCAACCAGTGTTGACAAGAAATGTGAAACTGTCTAACGCGCCAGGCCAGTTGTCGTCCTTGGTCGACTAGATCGACGTCTGTCATCAACGTCGTGACTGTAACCTGCTAATTGCTGACTGGGAAGAGTAAAGAGCTTGTGCTACAATACTCTGTCTTGTTCCAACTTCCAACACTGAAAACAATAGCAGAACAACTTTCAGTCTAGTTTTACCTCC